GGAACAAAAGAAAGAAATAAACATCCAACTGGGACAGCCTGAGAAATAAGAATTAAAAAAATGAGGAGATGCTTAGGAACCTCTGGGACAACTTTAAACAATCCAACATCTGAATCATATGGGTGCCAGAGAAGAAGAGGAAGAGCAAGAAATTGAAGACTTATTTGAAAAAATAATGAAGGAAAACTTCCCCAATCTGGCAAAGGAAATAGACTTCTAGGAAGTCCAGGAAGCCCAGAGTCCCAAAGAAATTGGACCCAAGAAGGAACACACCAAGACACATCATAATTAAGTTACCCAGGATTGAAGATAAGGAGAAAATATTTTCAAAAATACTTTATTTATTTATTTATTTATTTATTTTTAAATTTTATTTATCTTTAGAGGGGAAGGGAAGGAGAGAGGGAGAGAAACATCAATGTATGGTTGCCTTTTGTGCGTCCCCTGCTGGGAACTGGCCTGCAGGGAACCAGCCTGCAACCCCTGTCTGTGCCCTGACTGGGATTCGAACCGCGATTGTCTGGTTCGCAGGCCCGCGCTCAATCCACTGAGCTACACCAGCCAGGGCTATTTATTTATTTTTAAAGAGAGGGAGAGAAATATCAATGTATGGTTGTCTCTCATGCACCCCCCACTAAGGACCCAGCCTGTAACCCAGGTTTGTGCCTTGAGTGGGAATCAAACCAGCAACACTTTGGTCAAGCCCATGCTCAATCTACTGAGCTACAACAGCCAGGACTAAGGAGAGACTCTTTAAAGCAGCAAGAAGAAAGGAGACAGTTACTTACATAGAAGTTCAAGCTATCAGCTGATTACTCAAAAGAAACCTTACAGGCAAGCAGGGTCTGGCAAGAAATATTCAAAGTCATAAAAGGGTAAAGAGCTACATTTAGAATGGAAGGACAGATAAAGCACTTCTCAGATAAAGTCAAGTTAAAGGAGTTCATCATCACCAAGCCCTTATTATGTGAAATGATAAAGGGGCTTATTTAAGAAAAAGAAGATCAAAACTATGAACAGCAAAATGACAACAAACTCAAAACTATCAACGACTGAATGTAAAGAGAAAAATGAAAACAAAAACTAAGCCAATGACTAGAACAAGAACAGAATCACAAAAATGGAGATCACATGTAGGATTATCAGTGGGGAGGAGGAAAGGGAGAATGGGGAAGAAGGTACAAGGAATAAGAAGCATAATAGGTAGGTACAACATAGGGGAAGATTAAGAATGGTATAGGACATGGAGAAGCCAAAGAATTTATATGTATGACCCATGGACATGAACTCAGGTGGGACGTGGAAAGCTGGAGAGTGGGGGTGTGCAGAGAGGAGGGGGATAAAGGGGAAAAAGTGAGACAATTGTACTAACAAAATCAATAAAATATACTTAAAAAAGAAGGGGAGGGTGTGTGTTGATATATAAAAGGCAAAGAAGTAATAAAAGCATAATAATGTAGACAGTATGTAATAATATTGTACATTTGAAACCTACATACATTTATTTCCCAGTGTCACTCCTATAAATTCATTACTAAATAAATAAATAAATAACTCCTCCACATGTTCTGGAATTCAAAAACAAAAGCCAGAGGTAAAATAGCTACCCCTGTCTAGGGTAAGTGGAGGCAGCCTGGCTTCCTCACCCAGGTGTCTGGGTACCTAAGGAAAGCAGTGTCCCCATAGCCTTGGAAGGGCCTGATAACCAGTGTTCTCAAAGCCTCGAGACTGGGTCTGACAAACTGTTCCCATAACACGAAGTGGGCTCGCATGGACAGAATTATGTTGTTATGTAATGTTCTGGCATCTTGCTGGCCTTGTTCCCTTCTAGTATTTAAACAGGTAGAGACTCCCTGCTGGGGGTGGATGATGATGAGAGACATGCAAAGGGATAGGTGCCATGATGGGTGCCACGTTGGGAAGCAGGAGCCACAACATGAGACATGCAGACAGACATGCAGCTTGCCGCATGTGTGGCTCACCCGCCCATGAATAAAGGCATGCCAGACATCCCAATGGCTCCGTGAAAATTTTTCTGTCTGCACAAATACCATGAACCTGCCTGGCCTTGAAGGGTGGCAACACACCCAGAAAATACTTTGTGTTTCCAAACAAAACTCTTTAACACTTGAGACATATTTTCTTCATTAGTGAAGTGAAGTCAGATCTCCCACAATTCTGCCGCCTTTGGGAAGGGGAGGCATTTCCCTTCCATCCCAAACTGGGATTTAAGGCTAATAATCAGTTCTGAACAGCCACAGCTGCCCCTAAGTGAGAGCAGCAGCCCCACCCACCCTCTTAAAAATCCTTCTCTATGAAAATGCATGGAGGTCTTCCAGTCCCCTGGGTGTTTATCTCCTCTTTTGTAAAATAGAGGAGATAAACATATTTATTTCTCTGGTGTGTGATAAGGGTGTCTGCCTATCTGTCATTGAACATAAAAGTCTGTGTTATACGGGCACTGTCCTCTGTTTGGGGGTGTGCTTCTCAACAAACTAGGACTCAGTTCCTTGGTCCAGTATAGACACTGCCCAGAACCCATCACTCCACTTCCTCCCTTGGGTTAAACTCTTCGTTTCAGATCTTTGGTTATATCCTGTGTTTGAGGTCACCTTAGGTTAAAAAGCTGTTTAGTGTTTATTTACATCATGCTTTCCTGTGTTTGTATTATAAAGTAATCTCATCGTTATATTAAGGTATTTTCTCTGGAGGATCTTCCTTTGAACCCCAAATCTGAACAGTACTTTATTTGCATGGTGAACTACTGTCATTGTTATCTGTGTTCCACATATGTGAGGAGCCATGTCAACTAGATCAAGAGAGCTCCTTTTCTATTTCAGGTTCAAATATAGAGGGCAAATTCTAATTCTAGGGATTTTTTATTTGTACTTCTTAAATCTCTATGAGTATAGCTTCCACCATGTGTGATAGGCTTTTAGGTAACTTAAGTAAACCTATAGAGTAAAGGAATGCATTTCATCAAATTTCTGAATTAGAAAGAGAATCTGAGCCACCCTAGTTACTGGTACATTTTTATTTAGATAACAAAAATCAGCAGACAGGGGAGAAGTTTGGGGAAATGTCTGTTATCAAAGTAAGTATTCAAAGTAGGGAAGAAGTATCTTTAATAATGTGCCATGAAATAAATAGAGGGGATGTCATTAAGACATCAATTATAAGGGAAGAACTGGGAAAGGGAGGTAATGAGGAGTATGGCTGGCTACTTTCATTCTAACTTAACAATGTTAAATCCTCTTGTAGTTCACTCTTCAATATTTGCTCTAAAATTTGTTGCCAGTTAAAAAAGACCATGTGCAAACTATATAGAGAACACTTCGGAGATAAAGCCTTAGAGATATTTGTAATACTCCTGAGATATGGCTTTCTTTGTCTGCCAGTAGGGAGGGGAATACATAAAGCTATAACATTTTATTTCTTTTTATGTTATTTTTTTTCTTTCTGGATCTGGTTTCAGAGCTGAAGTGCTCAGTACTCATAGCAGAGCAGGAATGGAAGGTTGTATTCTTGGCACAACTCCCTGATCCTAATGTCACTTTGTTTCTGTATCAAACTACACAACTAACAAAATTCCTTGAGGAAAATAACTATAGTTTTCCCTCATTCACTAAACTCAAATTTCATATTTAAAGCTTAGAATACTTTTAGATTGTGCATTCTATCCCTTCACATATATATTTGAAATGCTAGTTCTTAGATAAGATCAAGATATTGCTTCACTTGATGTTTTAATGGTGAATTGCTTACAATATCTCCCTGCTTGTTTACTTAGTATGAAGATGGCACCAGATGGTCCTTAAAGAAGGCTCTCATTTTGAGGGCTTTCCAGACATCATAATAATAAATTGCCCTACAATATTTGTGGTACTTATCTTCCCATGTGGCATTCAACAGTATCCAGCACATCCAGGCCTACCTTTGTGCCAGGTGAACATTGGCCACCTTCTTGACAAAATGTAGTCACATTTTCACATTGTGTCTTGAGAATATTGCCTCATCTCTATGAAAATAGAGTGTTAGTAAATAAACCTTGCTCAGAACTGTGAAAATAATTGTATCATTTATGACAGGTGCTTACCTGGTACCTGGTTCTGCAGAATATACTGCTGGACTGCTGTGGTTATTTAGGTTTAAGAGTTTCCACTTCCCACATGAAAAACCCTTTTCTCACCAGCCTATTGCCATTCTGAGTTTCAAAAAGCACACGGAATGAACCTGTTATGAAGTTTAAGGTCATCTCTCTTTATCCTGGTTATCGTCTATTCTGTGAGCAGGTTAGAGATCTCTGGAAGCAGCAGAGAAGCTCCAGAACAATTCAGATATTTGGGATGAATTTTAAAAAGATCCTTCATGCAACTATGTACAGACACCTTCTAAATGCAGAAACTTTCTGAGACATTTAGCATAACTCAGTGAAAGAAGTAGACACAATCCTAAGCTTTACCATTACTCAGAGAGTCAAGTCACATTAGACATCATTTGAAATTTCCCATGTCACAGATGTATTCAGTCTTCTATGCACCTGGAGAAAGGTCCCTAAAGTTAACTGGAATAACTGATGGCAGGACTATGTAAAAAATTTAGTTGCCTTTGAGTCTCAAAAAAGAGTATTATTATTTTTTTTACAGAGCATAGGTGGTAAGGTGACTTTGAGGTTGTGTGTTAGGAGGGCCTGGCATCACCCTGGATTCAGTTCAATCATGTCCTAACCCTAACCCTAGGGAAGGGTGTGGGGGGGTACCAAACGATTCACGGGCCATCTGATCGAACCCCTGCCCCCCAAATAGCCCCATACCAGCTGAGCTGAAGGAGGGCACACCAGAGCTTGAGGATCGGGGAGCACGTTCGCACCCGCCCGCTGCCCGCCCAGCAGGCGCTTCCGCCTCGGGACTTGCCAACTATTGCGCAAAGGCGCCCTGGAAGACCCAGTCTCCTCACCAGGGACCACCCCCGGCCCCGCCCCGTGCACCCGTTGGCCGGCTCAGCGGCGGTCCCCCACTAACTACGGGGGCTCGGGAGAAGAAAATGGCGGAGAGAAACCGAGTCGCGGGCGGCGACCACAGCCCAGGCGGGCACGTGTCCCGGCAGGGAAGACCCTGGGCCGCCATCCGGGCGGGGTCCAGTGGCCTCTGGACTTTGAAAAATTCCGCAGAGGCGCCGTGGAAGAATGGACCGACGCCAGGAGCCAGCGTGGAAGGCGTCCCTGGCATCCGGGCAGACCACCCCACACGGCCTGCCTCGGTCAACACCTCCGAAAGGGCCGCGAGCCACCCACCTCAGGCGTTTCCCCTCCACGGACCCTGTCGGTCATTTCGTGCGTCGGTTAGTCACGGCCACAGGACCTGGGGTGGGGGTGCGGGGTGGCGGCGCCGGCGTGTGCTGGTCGACCCGTGAGGGCGTCCGCGCCCGCGCCCGCTTAACAGCCCTGCAAGTACAATCTTTGGCCAAGAGGCCGGGCGCTGAAGCTCCGCCGCCACCGGCAGGATGGCGCCGGCGCCAACGGCCTGCTGGAAGTCCACCGCCTTTGAAGCAGCCAAATCGTCTCCCTCCGCCTCCAGAAGGGACAGAAGATACAAGGGCGGCCGCCAGGTGGCGCCCGACAACCGGCGCTACTGTGAGCGGAAAGAGCCGTTGGGGCCGGCCCCCTGCCGCCCTTCCGGGGGACGGATCTCGTCCGGGCGCTGCACGTCAGTTTCGGAGCTCACGGCCGCCGCGGCAGCAGACGAGGGGCTCGGAAAGAAGACTTTCGGCTTTTGGGACGCGGCAGCCAGGCGAACGGTAGGCGACCGCATCCCCGCGGAGTCGCCGGCGGGCGGGCGGGCGAGGGCGACCCGGCCGGACCCAGCTTCCCCCGCCCTTTGGGTGTGCCGACTCCCGGATAGGCCCAGAGAAAATCGCGGCGGCGTCCAACCTCCTGGAGGCCTCTAGGCGCGAGATAATGACGGACAAATGGTTTTCTTTTTTTATCTTTTCTCTCGTTTCACATTCATCACCTCTGTCGCGGGTGACGTCAGTTCACACAAGCACTTGGGGCTGAAAATCAAAGGAAATCAGGGAGACACTTTCGATGGTAGTCCTTTAAGAAAAAGAAGGAGGAAGAGGAGAGAGGAAGGGAGAAACCCACACGGCTTTTCTCTAAGCGTACCCCTCCACAAAACACCTGCATACCGCAACGAGCACTCCCTGCCCAAAGTATAAAGTCTCTGTTCGTCCCCGTTTACCCTCCCCCCTTCTTTCCCTTCTCTTTTCTTTCCTTTTGGGTCCCCCCTCCCAAATCTGTCACTACCAGTACTGGGAGTGGATGTACCCAAAACTGACAGTCTGGCAGCCGCACAGGCAATGAACAGTAACGGTGACCACAGTGAAGTTTCAGAGTAGAAACTGAGTAGACCACAACAAAGCCCAAGAGGAGAAGAGGGTGGGTGTGAGGAATATCGGTTCCCGCGTCGATAGTGGGTTCTGGATTCCAGCTCACATAACCTTAATAACGACATGGGAGAGGGGGAGTATGTGTGTTGGAAACAATGTAAAACAGGATGATGAACTGTTGGGGCATGCACACAAGCACTCATGCTTACACACAATCGACAAACCAACACCTCCATAGCTGGAAAAGCAATGGCAGTGGAGAGTGTACAAGGGGACTGAGTGGTAATAGGAAAAAAATACAAGAAATATTTTTCCCGTTCAAAATTATTTTATTGCTCAGTAAAATTTTATTGTTTAGTTGTGTCTTCTTGGAGTGGAGTCTTGTGAGTCTTTATATATTTTGGAGATCAAAGCTTTGTCCGAGATGTCACTGGCAAATATGTTTTCCCATATAGTTGGTTCTCTTTTCATTTTAATGCTGTTTTCTTTAGTCATGCAGAAGCTTTTTAATTTAATAAAGTCCCATTTGTTTATTCTTTCCTTTATGCCCCTTGCTTTAGGACACATATCAGTGAAGATGTTGCTGTGTGGCATGTCTGAGATTGTCCTGCTGATGTTTTCCTCTAGGACGTTTATGGTGTCACTACTTATATTTAAGTCTTTTATCCACCTTGAATTTATTTTTGTGTAGAGTGTAAGTTGGTGATTGGGTTTCATTTTTTTTGCATGTAGCTGTTCAGATCTCCCACCTGTTCTTGAAGAGGCTATTTTTACCCCATTTTATGCTTCTTCCTTCTTTGTCAAATATTAGTTGACCATAGAAACTTGGGTTTATTTCTGCGCACTCAATTCTGTTCTATTGGTCTATGTCTGTTCTCATGCCAGTACCAGGCTGTTTTGATTACAGTGGACTTGTAATACACTTTGACATCAAGTATTGTGATTCCTCCTACTTTGTTCTTCTTTCCCAAAATTGCTTCAGCTATTCGAGGTTGTTTAGTTTACATATACTCATGGTCATTTATACTTCCATATAAAATTCTGAAATGTTCGTTCTAGATCTGTGAAATATGTCATGGGTACTTTAATAGGGATTGCGTTGAATCTATAAATCACTTTGGGTAGTATGGACATTTTGGTGATGTTAATTCTTCCAATCCATAAGTCTGGTACATGCTTCCATTTGTTTGTGTCTTCCTTAATTTTTTCTTCAGTGTTGTATAGTGTTCTGAGTACAGGTCTTTTACCTCCTTGGTTAGCTTTATTCCTAGGTACTTTATTTTTCTTATTGCTATATCACATGGGATTTTTTTCCTGACTTCTGTTTCTGATATTTCATTGTTGGTGTACAAAAATTCCTTTGATTTCTGAGTATTGAGTTTGTATCCCACTGTTTTGCCAAATGTGCTTATTATGTTGGGTAGTTTTCTGGTGGAGTCTATAGGATTTTCTATGTACACTATCATGTCATCTGCAAACAATGACAGTTTTACTTTCTCTTTTCCAATTTAGGTGCCTTTTATTTCATTTTCTTGTCTGATTGCTGTGGCTAGGAATTCAAATACTGTGTTGAATCGGAGTGCTAAAAGTGGGCATCCTTGTCTTTTTTCTGATCTTAGCTGGAAAGCTCTAAGTTTTTGTCAATTGAGTATGATGTTAGTTGTAGGTCTGTCATATACAGCCTTAATTATGTTGAGGATTGCTCCCTGTATTCCCATTTTGCTGAGTGTTTTTATCATAAGTGAGTGCTGTATGTTATCAAATGCTTTTTCTGCATCTATTGGTATGATCATGTGATTTTTGTCTTTGTTTTTGTTTATGTGATATATGACATTTATTGATTTGCGAATATTGTACCATCCTTGCATCCCTGGAATGAATCTCACTTGGTCATGGTGTATGATTTTTTTTAACATATTGCTGGACACAGTTTGCCAACACATTGTGAGGATTTTAGCATCTATGTCCATCAGTGATATTGACCTGAAGTTTTCTTTCTTTGTTGTGTCTTTATCTGGTTTTGGGATTAGGATGATGCTGGTTTCATAAAAAGAGTTAGGGAGTCTTCCATCTTGTTGAATTTTTTGGAATAATCTGATAAGGTTGGGGTTAGCTCTTAAATGCTCTTTAAAATATCTTGTACAGGGCTGTCTTGTACAGGGCTTTTGTGTGTCAGAGCTTTTTGATTACTGCTTCAATTTCATCAGCTGTTATTGGTCTGTTCAGGCTTTCTGTTTCTTCTTCATTCAGTTTTAGAGGATTATATTTTTGTAGTAATTTGTCTTGGTTTTTTTAATTTCTTGGCATACAGTTTTTCATAGCAATTTCTTACAGTCCTTTGTATTTCTGTGGTATTAGTTGTAATCTTTCCTCTTCCATTTCTGATTGTGTTTATATGTGTCCTCTCTCTTTTTTTTCTGATGAGTCTGCTTAAAACTTGTCAATTTTGTTTATCTTTTCAAAGAACGAGCTCCTGGATTTATTGATCCTTAGAATTGTGCTTTTAGTCTGTATGTTGTTTAATTCTGCTCTGGTCTTGGTTATCTCCTTCCTTCTACTTGGTCTGGGCTGTCTTTGTTGTTGTTCCTGGAGTTCTTGCTGGTGTAGGGTTAGGTTGTCTATCTGAAATGTTTCTATTTTGGGTAGGTCTGTATTGCTATGAACTTCCCTCTTAGGACTGCCTTCACTGTGTCCCATAAGTTTTGGATTGTTCTGAGTTTATTTTCTTTTGTTTCCAGAAAGTTTTTGATTTCTTTCCTAATTACATTCTTGACTCATTCATTGTTTACTAGCATGCTATTTAATCTCCATGAGTTTGAATTTTTTTGTTTTTTTTCCTTGAGGTTGATTCTGGTTTCAGTCCCTTGTGGTCAGAGAAAGTTCTTGATATGAAATGAATTTTCTTGAATTTGTTGAGGCTTGTTTTGTCCTATTATGTGGTCTACCTTTGAAAATGTTCTATGTGAATTTGAAAAGAATGTGTCTTTTCCTTCTTGGGATGAAAGGCTCTCTAGAGAGAGCTCTAAAGACGCTCTAGAGAGAGAGAGAGAGAGAGAGAATCAATTAAATCCATTTAATCTAGGACATTGTTCAATGCTGCAATATCTTTATTGATATTTTGTTTGGGAGATCTATACCTTTTTGACAGTGGCGTGTTCAAATCCCCTACTATAATTGTGTTTCTGTCAGTATCTTTCTTTAAGTCCTCCAACAATTTCTTTCTTTATGTGGGTGCTCCTATGTTGGGTGCATATATATGTACAATGTTTATGTCTTCATGATGGATTGTTCCCATGAGTATTATGAAGTGACTTTGTGGTTCTCTCTTTATGGTCCTTTTTTTGAAGTCTATTTTGTCTGCTATGAATATTGCTACCCTGGCTTTTTTTTCCTGTACATTCTTAGAATATTTGTTTCCAGCCCTTCCCTTTCAGTCTGTGTAGGTCTTTTGTTCTGAGGTGGATCTCTTGTAAGCAGCATATGTGTGGATCATGTTTTCTTATCCATTCAGCTATTCTATGTCTTTTGATTGGGGCATTTAAACCATTTACATTTAATGTTATTATTGATAGGTACTTATTCATTGCCATTTTTTCATGCCCCTGTTCCCCCCTTTTTCACTGTTTTCCTTCCCGTTCTTAAAGCAAACCCTTTAGCATCTCTTGCAGAGCTGGTTTAGTGGATGTATATTCTTTGAGGCTTCTTTTGTCCTACATGCTCCTTATTTGGCCTTCCATTTTATTTGATAGCCTTGCTGGAAAAAGTAGTCTTGGTGGCAGTCCTTTAGTTCTCATTACTTGAAATGTTTATTGCCACTTCCTTCTGTCTTGGAGTGTTTCTATTGAGAAGTCCACTGCTAGTCTTATCGGGGCTCCCATGTGTGTTACTTCCTGTTTTTCCCTGGCTGCCTTTTAGATTCTCTCTTTGTCTTGGAATTTTTCCATTTTTTCATGATGTGTCTTGAAGTGGGCCTTTGAGTTCTTCTAGATTGGGACTCTGTGTTTCCTGGATTTGTTGACTTTTTCTCTCATCAAATTAGGGTAGTTTTTCATCATTACTTTTTCAAACAGGTTTTCTATACTTTGCTCTTCTCCTTCTTGTATCCCTATTATATGGTTATTATTACATTTCATGTTGTCCTGCATTTCCCTTAATCCCTCTTCATTCTTTCTGACCCTCTTTTTCTTTTCTTGCTCATTCTGTTTTTTCTACCTTGTCACTTTTCTACCTGATTCTCTGTTTCATCTAGCCTGCTTTTGATTCCTTCTTCTGTGTTCTTCAGTTCAGAAATTGTATTCTTCATTTTCTGTTGGCTCTTGTTGATAGTTTATATTTCCTTTTTCATGTTGATATAGTTTGCAGTGAGTTCACTATAGTTTCCCTGTAGATTTTGGTAATTCTCTGTGAGC